ATTCATAAATTACTAACCAAAACCTCTGGAGTGGTATAAAAAGAGAAAAGTTTTAAGAAATGTCGCGTAGTATTTGCATTAAAAAAGCTAACAACATCCTTAAATTTGATGCAAAATTGAAGCATAAAGATTAAGAAAGGCTTAGAATAAATGACAAATTTGGGAAAGAGAAAATTTAATTGTTTTTTTTTTTTTGGAAAATAAAAAAGAGAGAAAAAAGGGAGAAAATATGAAATGTTGAAAAAGAAAAGAAAACGAAAAGAGTTAGAGCAAATTGGAAGTTAGTAAAAAAGATAAAATAATTCATTTTCGGGAAATGTAAACCAATCTTATTGATATATGATCGGTATTGACTTTACTTTAGAAATTTGCTAGATTTAGTGTAAGGTGAACAGAGCAAAACATAGTGAAGCATAGCTGTAAATACTAAAAGTTTGAAAAAAGCTTTCAAACACACATACATACAGACATACATACGGACATACGGACACACACATACACGCACACATACACACACATACACACACATACACACACATACACACACAGACACACACATACACACACAGACACACACAGACACACACAGACACATACACACATACACACATACATATAAACAAAGACAGGTGCATATATACACATAACGAATAGAAGTAGAGGTAAGAAATCCCTCTTTAATCATCATTATTGGCATCGTTGTAATCACACAATCATCATTATCACTCTTATTATTATCATTGTAACTACGAAGAAGAAGTTTGGCTTTGGTTGTTTGTTGATGGTTAGTTAATTACAAAACGTGAAATTTATCTCTCCATCTTCATGCCATCTATTCAATTGTCTTCTTGCTTTTTCTTGTAAGCAATTCGTTCAGTTGCTTTTTTTTCAAAACAAAAAAAAAAAAGAAAGAAGCTATAAGCTAAATATTTTTTCTTGTTATTTTCATTTAAGTTTCAGAGTATTATATTGATAAAATACATTATACGTGTAATTATATTACATTGATGTAAGAATATAATTATGTTAAATTACGTTGTAGAAGAAGTAAATATGTAAGATTAGCAAATTCAATTAAAAAGTATTGAAAAAACTAATTAGATAATCATTTATTGATGCATTAATATAATTTCATTTCGTCCGATATTGTATTGGTCAACTGACTAATTAGATTAGTGGAAATGGGAGAAGAGTTAAAAGGATAGGAAAATTAATTTATGGGAAATGCTAATTAAATATTCAATTAATTATCCATAAACTATAAGTTCTATTTATGATATGGTAATTCAATCTTCGCCATTAAAATTGTGTGTAGATTCAAATTAGATTTTTAAAATTTTAAAACCTTCTTAATTTTTGCTAAAAAATATTTGGATTTTTTCTTGTAACTAAGAAATATTTTCTCCTCTCTTCTTCTCTTCCCCCTTCCTGCTTTTCTTCATCTCTTTCAAATTAAAAAACAAATGCTTACTAAAGTGAAAATTTTCGAATATATAATTGTACAATAAAATATCACAAATAGTTAAGGAAAAATTTGTTAAATCGGAAAATGAATAAGTCGAAAAGAGATAGAAAATCATTTCAGTGAAATAGAAGAAAGAAAGGAAACTCTGATGAATGTGTACATTTCGAAATAAAAATTGCATTTTATTTTATTAAAGTTCAATTATTTTTCAATTTTAAAAAACCCACAATAATACCCAAATCGTTAAACTATGAAATACCAAAAAGTATTGCATGACAAAATGAAAAGCACACTGGATTTCGAATTAAAGCACCTTAAAAGTTATACCAAAAAGTAGAATTTGTTCGTTGCGGTTTTTTAAAACCTAAATATTTGCATCGGAAATCAGTTAATGAACAATTTCAAGTGAACATAACTATAATCAATTTTTCGTCCTTTGTTTTTAAATCGGATATATCTTATCTTAGGAAATAAAGCAGTAAGTTATTGTTATTTTCACTATTAATTGCAGATTTTCTGTGGCTGATTTTTTCTCTTTTTTTTTAAATTGATTCTTAATTAATGATTGATACGACTGATTATTTTTTGCAAAAAATTAGATGTAAAACACAACATATGGTAATGCAAATCATTGATAAGAGATGAATCAAACGATAAACTGGAAAAATAGAAGTGGAAGATAGAAGTTAATGATGATAAATGACAAATGGGAAGAAAGTTTCAAATAGGAAAAAAAGAAAAGGTGAAAAAACGAAGAATTTCGAGATCAATTAATTCGGATGAATGAAAATGAGAATACTTTGCAAGTGTGAAAATTAGGATTTTCAAAATCTTTGAGTTTTGTTTCTACCTGTACATACTTCGCATTCTATGACTTATTCAAATCATTTCATACGACTTTATCTAATATCTAAAAAATGATAACAGTAAATTTATCCGAAACAATTAAGTGCTTGAAAAGTCATTTACAATTGGAAATAAAACTTTTTCTATTATTTGATTTTAGAACTGGTTCAAAAAATTAAAAAAGGAAATTTTAACAATTATGTCCGATTTTTGAAATTTTCAAAAAATTTAAAAATCAATAGCTACTTTTTTGTGAAGAAAATGACACAAAAAAATTTGAGTAGCAAAAAATAATTATTTCAAGAAACCAAGGATCGAAACATCGAGATTTATTTATAAAAATAAATCAATGCATGAGGAAAACCAATTGCAATATATCATACGAGAAGCAAAAATCATTTCTTTAATTTTGTAACCCAATCTTAAATTCTTAACGGAAATGCATTTTTCAGAATATACCATCGGGAACTTCGTCTATTAAATTATTCGGATGAAAAATGCAAACAATCCAACAAATGGACACCATTTTTTATCTCATTGCTTGAAAATATTCATAAACTGTAGTAACAATGAGTTGAAATTGTAAAAAACTGTTTTACTTTTGTCTCCGTATCTTCAGAGTGTTTTAAGATGAACTTTCAAAAAAATTTTATTGATTTAGCTCCTGTACGGAACAAGTTCCTGCTAAAGAAATTGATTTCTCCGTCATGAGTTCGTTGCCACTGTTTGCAAAGTTTACGATTTGTTGATAATCAAAATAATTTCCGAAGAAATTCGTGGATATGAAATTCAGAGCAAGTAATGCATTCAAGATAATTCATTGCTTGGAAGGAAACGGATATCATGAAACAATGATATATCTTCATTTCCCATCAAATCGACAATCCGATTAGTCATTTAATTCTGATGGGGAATAAAGTGATCACGAAAGCAGAAATTCAAGACCTACACTATTAGATTAATGATTTGACAACTACGAAGAAAATGGAAAAGGTCCTGAAAATTAAATCATCGCAAATATAACTATTCCGAAGCCATTGCTAACTTAATGAGTGGATCAATTCGACATTTGGTATTATTTAGAATACTGATGACTAGGAAGCATCAAAGATTAGTTGTCAGGTGATATAAAAAAATCCAACAAAATCTGTTGATGTCAAACACATTATACATAAAATAAACTGCAATTAAAGGAAGAAATATGACACAAAAATTAACAAACAAAAAACAAAAAGAAAAAACGCAATAATCTTTCCAAAATAATAAATAATTTTCCATAAGTTAAGAAGAAATGTCCTTCTCAGCCTGATCTAACAAAATAATAGCTGGGAGCAACTGCACTTATTATAATAGGTAACGGATACAAAGTGTAACAAATGTGGATCTTTTATACTGACATGTGAACAAAATTCTTGAAAAGATGAATAAGCTCGAACGAGTAAAACAGTAATTTGTACTTTCAACAATTGCAAAAAGCTCACAGAAATGAAGTTCCAAAATTCGATTGCAGCACTGAATCGCAGTAAAAAAAAAATACTGCCAAAATCAGTGCAGATTTTCTTTTTCATTTTTAAAATGAAATCTATTCCAAATCGTCTTTAGTAACCTTGAAATGCTTAACAGTAAACTTTCGTATGTTCCGAGAAATAAATTGATTTTAAAAGTAACATCAACATTATCATGTAGATGATATCAAAAGTATTAGGAAGAGGAATAAACACTTAGTATCCATTCAACAAAAATTGTCATTATGTAAAAGAAAAAAGATCCACATTAAACACGTTTTTAAAATAAATGACGCCAGCTTCCTTTCCAGTTGAAGAATAAGTTAGCGTTTGGAAGGATTTCGAATGACTTTAAAAGGACATTAAGAACGAAAAAAAAAATGTAACATAAAAGGCGACAAAAATTTGAAGAACGGAAGAATTTGGTTTGAGGAGGAAAAATGGAGAAAAGACCAGTTTATTCTGGGAGTTCAATAGGTTTGAAAATGAAGAGGATGAAGAACAGCACAATACAATTGGTATTGCTCAACAGAAAGAAGTGGAGAAACGTAGAGGCAGGAGGTAGAAGAATAGTGAAAGCCCCAAGATGGAGGGGAAGAAAAGAAGACGAGAAAGAGAAATGAACAAAATACAGAAATAATAAGATAAAGCACTCGATCGGTTGTTCAACCCGACCAAATTCACTAAACAAAACAAATACTTAAAAGTACATGGAGTGATACTCACTCCATATACTCATTCAAAACTAATGTAATCAATACTCTCATGAGATCGTTTTCTTGGTGGCTCCTGAGTATCAACATCAGAAGTACCACTATCACTGTGATGATGTCCAAATAGTTCTATATTACCAACATACGGCACCTGTTGCTTGTGTTGATTTGATGTCGAAAGCCCAGAGGAACTATGCTTCAGCCCATAAGTAGTATCACTTCTAGATTGCTCTCCAGCATGTCGTGTAATCTGCGATACCTAAAACAGTACGTTATGAATTAAGAGAGAAAAGCTCTATTTAAAAACTTGAACATAATGTTCAGTGGAACTATAGCTAACCCAAAAAAAATCAAAAGGTTTTACAGATTAAAAAGCGCGCTTTTCCAGAAATTCATAAAAGTTATGTCCGAAGTGTATTCAGGCGTTCTAGAAAAATGATATAATGAATCAAAAAAAAAAATGGATATGGGTGAAATGGATATGTTCATAATCAACATATTACCTTGAAAATACAGTGTTGACATCTTAAATTCCGACAAAGAACATTTAATAGAATAACTTAACTCCTTATACGATGTCGAGGCTATATTATCAGATTTCGCTATTGATGGTTGATACTCAAGTTCTGTCGAGAAATCAGGCATTTCTTTGTCAATCGTCTTATCATCCGTTAAATTCTGCACATCCGAACAAGCTAAGGTTAATGGTAAGGCAGAAGAGTCAGCAACTGCCGTTACCTGCAGAACTGCTGATTGTTATAGCAAAAAATACCAATAAACCCATCAAATTTATCGAGCCAATAAAACTTAACATTTGTTGCAAAAAAGTACACACAAATTATGCATATACCTGAACAGGTAGAAGTTGTTGTGTACCGTTAGGATTTTGCACGTTAATGTAATGTTGGCCAGTAGCAGGATCCATTAAAAGCTGCAAATGCTGCACGTTTCCTGTGCTCATCACTCGTATTGCACCATCCGGATCTTCTTCACCTATAAAAGTAATGAAATTATATTCGCTATAGTAAGTTTCAGTTTTTCTGAAAATTCTACTAAAAAAAATGATAATTGGCAGAATCCGCGCTTATTTGGAAACTAATTTTTCGTACCTTTGATTTAGAGTTCACTCTTGGAACCCTAAATCAAAGGTACGAGAAAAAAGCAAATATATTTTCATGCCGGCAAAAATAATTTGAGAAGAGCATGCGCTTGAGGATGGTATCGGTTCGCTTTGGATGGTAAAAGCACCAGAAGAAGTAGCGGATTCACTCGACTCATGAGCACTCATTTTCTGCTGAAATTAGGGTGACAATAAAAAAGATTGAAAATATTTCGACTAACGAAGAGTCTGCAAGAAAAAGAAAAAAGAATTTTAATGAGAACCGACCACAAAAGAAGGCTGAGATCCCGAAGAATCAATAAGAAGTGTTTCAGTACTGCGATCGCTACGAAAAGCTTCCCGAAATCTGGAATAATTATAAATATAACCATGGAATAATGATTTCCCTTCCTACGTTGAGTTATAGTTCAATACTGTGCAAAGATTAATAAAAATAAGATAAAATTCATTTACTTCCTCACATATGCAGTCAGTGGTTCGACATAATTATCAAAACCAAGAGTAGCAAATGCTCCAATAATATCTTCACCTGTTATCGTTTTCCTTTTCTCCTAGAAATCTTATCTTTCAAAACTCTTGAAATACAGAAATAAATACTACTCCATAGCTAACATCACTTCAACATGAAATGAATTATTGGTGTTCCAATTCCAATCTCGAAGGATGCAGCATCGAAGTTCAAAAAAAAGATCCGTGATAAAGCACTGAACAGTTACATATTATCAACTTAATTACTCAAAAGTGTTAATGTAAAATACACTTGCATTAAGGCAACGATCGCAGGCTTCGGATGTAATAAAGGAAATAAACTCGGAAACACATTCTTGGACGCATTCTTTCGCATCCTTGGCAACTTTTCCGGAACGAGGGATCACATTTTTCATCAGTCGGGATATATTTGCTATAAAAAAGAAAAAAGTGGTATGGCATATAAACAAAATATACTCATAATTCAACATGCAAATATCCATTTGAAGATGTTCATGTCATCATACAAAAACATGCATACCAATAGGGAGGAATCTATCTTGCTCCAGAATTGGTTTCCGAGTCATAATGATTTCTTCTGCTGCGTTATTCGCATCTGATAGAAGCCCTTCCGTGTTGTTATCCTGAAACTGATCTGGAAACACCATATAAAAAAAAGGTTTTCAAATATTATCCATACCCACTTATATTATACATATTATTCGTTCTACTTCTACTACCAGTATATTGTCATTTTATCCTCTCTCGAACCACTTTACACCGTTATTCAAAAGCAAATTTCATGGTCACGAATCTCAACAGTCAAGACTTTCCTAATTTTTAATCTACATACAAAAATAAAAAAATGTCTGAAACATTCAGTGCAATTCATACCTTGCTTGAAATGCAACTATACATTGGACAAGACAATTCGGAAAATGCTTGTAATAACAACTAGCAAATCGTAACGTTGAACCCATCCAGTAACAATGTTATAAATCGACTTTTTACGATATATATAAAAACAGAAATTTCATTTTAAAAACCTACCGCAATTGTGCTACCTTTAGTCTGGCATGTACCGCCCTCTTGAGAATACTTACTCAGGTAATTATTGCCATCATCTTCATTGATCATAATAGTCAGCTATAATAAAATCATTTAATCAACTTCAAAATGTTTCAAAAAAAAACATAAATACGTATAAATATATCAATAATATGTCAGTATAAATTCTGGAAGAACTTCTGACTTTACAAAACTGATTATCAGTGTCATGAGAGAAATCCACGTTCTCCTGGATAATCGTTTCTGGAAAATTGATTCTCATTTCAAAACATACCCCATGATTCTTGCTATCAGACAGAATAACAGATGTAATGACAAGAGATAAGAAAGAAGATGGAGATAAATTCAAAATCCTCATTTCAACAACATCCTAACAAATCTTTTTATCAAATTCATCGACAAAAAAATAAAATAAAATTAATTAAATATGCAAGGAATACGATGATAAATGTAATGAAAAAGTAAAGTAACCCTCTCGCCCAAACAAACATCCACAAAAACCAATAAAAGTTCCACCATTCTGACTCCCGCGAAGTTTCGTTACGCAACAACAGCGGATTTTTATATCATTTTGATCATAATTGTTTGAAAATTCCCACGTATTAGTAATTTTCTAACGTATTAGATGAGTATTTTGTTTAAAATTTTATGCTTTTTTTTTCTTTTTGTTCACTTGAATATAAAAGATAGCTAAATTTCAAGTCCAACTATTCGAATATGATTATTATTGGATTTTGGATTTCCGTTGTAACGTTTCGGTATATGAAATGCATATGATGTTAGTTGTAGTCGAATGAGAATACAGTATTTGTTGAATATGCAATGTTTCGCTCTATTTTTGCTCTAATACTTTAGATCTTAGATCTTAACATAAAAGATGTGTTGTTTATTTTGGTATAATCTTTTAGTAGTAAGAATGGAAGTTACTTTCCACACTCAATATTGGGATTTAAGAGGTACAAGAAAACGTTAGGTATAATTTGTTAGTTTATGATCTTCGGTATAAATCGTTTGTTTTGTTTTGTTTTTATGAGAGAAGGAGGAGGAATTTTTAGATTATTACTTTTAGAATTAGTATTACTGCAAATAAGAAGTCTTTTTGCTGGCATTTGTAAAAGGAAGCAAAAGTCAAGGATGATTCCGAATCAGGCGAATTGCACTAAGAAGCATCATGAAACAATTATGAGTGGTGCAAATGACGATGAAGCGAGCAACAAGCATACTACATCTGGTAGGTTTCAAAAACTCCAAATTAAAATTTAACTATCTTGATTTATATGACAGGTTTATACAGGTGAGGAGAAGTATGAATTGTTCTGGATGAGAATTTAAATTGTTGCTTTTATGTGATTCATTTTCCTTTTCTTATTTGTTGTTTATTTGCCCGATTCCAAGTTTCTACCTTTCTTTGTATTATACTTGTTTGGAATATTTGTTGATCCATGAAATATGTTGCTGTCATTTTTTCTAGATCTCTATCCATATTATTTTCATGGAACTGTTGTTGTTGGATTTGGTCGTGGTGGTCGGAAGCTGGGTTGTCCTACTGGTATGCTTTGCTGATTTTGTTGTTGCATTTTTCAACCAAAATTAAATGATTTGATAGGGTTCATATTTTGTTACGGAAGTATAACTGAAATTAGTTAGGAAAAGACCGAAAAATCAATAATGTTTCACTAAAAAAAATTTCGTGTAACGTAAGATGGTAAGATGAAGTGGAAAGAACTTCAGACTGAAAACACGTGAATCATAAAACATTTCTTCAAATCAAAGAGCATTTAGCTAATCATTTATATCATTTATGATAAATAAATTACTTATTTCGATTTTATTTTGGCTGTCCAGATATCGAGTATTTGTAACATTAAATGATTAAATACTATATCATGGTGTTAAAAAAAATGTTATTGATATCATTTCTTTTTTTGAAAATTTCCACGTTATTTTTGGGACGAACCAGAGTAGATGTTTACAGTGTGTTTACAGCAAATATGGATGACAATGCCATTTCCCGTCTGCCTCCTCATTTTCCATGTGGTGTCTTTTATGGTTTCGCAAATGTTAATCATGGTGAAGTATATGGGATGGTAACTAGCATCGGATGGAATCCACACTTCAAAAATGAACAGAAAACAATTGTATGTTATGTGCAACGCACATGCTCTCGCTAATTTTTCTTTGCCAGCGATTAAATCATTAGTACAGTTTCGATTATCAGATGTTTCAAATATGATTATTTGGAGTGTTCAATCACTCAAAAAATTGTATTATTTGATAATCGAAATCGAATACTCGTAAAAATAATCGAAACTGATCATCTTATGTATTTTAGGAAGTTCATATACTTCATGATTTTGAAGAAGATTTCTATGGTGCCGAAGTCCGTGCTATTTTGGTTGGATTTCTGCGTCCTATGGCTGCATTTAATTCTCTGGGTCTTTTTTGTTTTTTCCCTTTTTTCTTGCTAAATTTTCATTGCAACATGTACCAACTTTTTCCTATGTAACCATTACATCACATATCATCAAAATGAGAATTAAATATATTGAATGTGAAAGCTTTTAGATGAACTAAAAACAGCTATAAATAATGATGTGTCGATGGCAAGGAGTTTATTGTCAGCTCCCGAAACTATATTCTTCAAAAACTCGGATTTCTTTTTTCGCTGATTTACTGAAAATAAGTGATAATCCATATGTTCATTCCAAAACTTTTTCATATGTAATTCTGTGATATCCTGTTGAGGAGATATTGTTAGTCAAAAATAATTTAGCCTTAAATATTTGCACTCCTTGGTGTATTATTATATTTGTATAATTTATATTGAACAAGTTTAAAATACGTGCAAGTAAAATTCTTTCAACATTCACTTGCTTTTGTGCACTGGTTTTTACTGATGTAAAAGCATGATTACAAATAAAACGATGACTGGTTTACACTGTTAGAGTGCAATCATTTGCATTTGTTATATTTCTTAGTTGTAGTTCATTGCACTAATGCATGTTTTTGTCTTATTTTTAATTTTCCTGTTCTCTAAGCACATGAGGCAGAATTATCTGTACATGTTGCGATATTCCTCTTTCCGTGATTAAAAACCTCTATTTATTATATTCTGAAATCATAGATTAATGCTTCCTCTCTCCCTATGTTTTTCTCATACATGTCTTACAACTAACTTTCAAATTTCTATGCTCAATTGTGTCATTAACTATTTATTAATAGCATAAAGTCACGTAATAATGATCTCGTAATCTTGCCAGTTTTTATATTCACTCGTTTATATTCATTTCCGAGTTTTCGTATTTATTTATATTTATATTTATAGAAAGATATTTCATCTTAACAAAAGAAAAAAAAAATTCGATTATAATGTGTTCATATCATCGAAATCAGTCAGATGTTATTATGTGTCTGTTTTTCTTTCCCCAAAAAATGGTGGTACTTGATGCGATTGATGTATTAGCAAATTGATTAAACGCATGATATTTTGATTAGGACACATGTGTTCTCGTAACTTTACAACATTTGGAAATTAATACATTCTCATCATTTCAACTCACTGAATGCTCATCTCATTACGAATTGACAAGTTTGGAGCAATAAATGTTGTCAAGGAAGTCCCATCGTTTTTATTCTTCGTCCATCGTCGTTATCATCACTCACATCTATCAAAATGTCGATGTCGTTGTTTGATACATTATTTTTTGAAATGATTTTCATTCTTTTATTCGTTGAGATTTTTGTCCAAAGAAGAAGAATCGGAAAATGTGTAAAAAATTTCATGAGTAAGCTTTAACATCGTAAAATTTGTGATTTTCGGTAGCTCTTGTTATTTAAATTTAAAATTAAAGAAATTAATGTTGAATTCAAGTCCTAAATTATATGAAAAATTATGTTTATTATTTTCCTATTTAATATAAAAAATTATAAGTGTTTACAAAAATGGTGCAAAATTGTTCCATTATAAATTTTCTTGGTCAAATCAAATCAGGTCAAGTCAGTACTTAATTCTTGTAAATTATTGGAAAGGAGCACCTATCAATATGATTTGATGACGCATACACCACAACACTCCCCTGGGACTGACATTATTGCAAATCTAACGCGGTAGCTAATGTCATCAGCGTGCAAACTGACGCGTATCTTATTAGCTCTTCAATTCATTAATTTACAATTGGAATTCCGTTATTCATGCCATTTTTATGATAAGATTTTCCAGTCGGGAGATTTTCTGTTAATTGGTAAGTTAATTGGTTTTGATAAACGGAATTTCAGGTTAAAATATTGAAACCAGCGCTCGAATTTGTTTATTCCAATTAAAAGCTGTTGAACCAACCGCAAAATGTCTTGCGGCAAAAGCTTCAAAAGGGATTTAACGATTGTGTAATTTAGGCCGTGATAATAATCAAAATTGCAATGATTGCGATATTTTAAGGTCTGAAAGGCCTGGTGGCCCGAGGTTTCTGGTGTATCTTGAATAATGTTTTCAGTGGATGCTGTACTATATTGAGATTGAAATATATCGCTGTTTCAGGGATAGTTATTTACTGCATCAAGATGGAGTCGGTCCAGAACGTTCTCTATGTTGCAGATTCGTATAAGGTATATTTACCCTAGAAGCATCATGAGCATTATCAAGTCCGACCGGATCTTCGACCGTCTGATGATGCCATGATACTAACTATGTTTAATCGAATTAGAACATGGTTTATGTTCTTAGCTTGCTCAGAACATCTCTTTATAAGTTGTTTCCTTATTTTGATCTTACTGTTCGTTATAGTGTAATGAGATGTTCAGGGCTGGTTTTGTGTCAAATTATTCAGTTTAGCAAATATTATGCTTTACGTGATCTTTTTTCCTACCACTTTTCTACTTGAATTTTGAAACTTTGTTAGAAATAATAAGTTACGATATATTTTGAATAAAAACGAAAGATGTTAAGGTAACGCATCATAACCAGTATCCAGAAGGTACCACACACGTTTACAGTTATTTCGAAAGTCGTGGTGGCAAGTTTTCGGAAGTCTGTTTCTTTGGCCTGCAGGTAACCTTTTTTTTTCTCATTAGTTTTCCAAAATTTTTTGGCCATTCTCTGCACTTTTACTGCGTGTTCATTTCGATATCATAAAATTTTTATTAACTGCGATTGGTGAATATCCACATGATTTTAGCTGATTTTTGATATTTTTATGTTTGCAGTATATTATAAAACGATGGCTTGTTGGTCCAGTAGTCACGAAGGCAATGGTTGAACAAGCGAAACAATTTTATAAAGCGCACTTTGGTGGACTTGATATTTTCAATGAGGAAGGCTGGAATTATATTGCTGAAGTAAGTATATATTTTTCTTCTATAATTCTAACATAGATTTTGTGATTTTAGTATTGGCATCCTTGTACATTATCTGTTTGTTTGCACAGGTTCACAAAGGCCATCTTCCGTTAAAGATCAAAGCAGTACCGGAAGGTATGGTGGTACCAGTTAAA